GGTGTCATGACCGGGAGATCACTCTCTATCTTCCGGGAGACGAATCGATCACTTTCTTTGGCTCCAGGAATCATTCATTGCCTCATGTTGTATCGATGGCAAAAGCCACTAAGTTATTGCGACGAGGCAACTGCCAGGGTTATCTGGTGAGCCTTGTCGACGATTCTCAGAAAGCACGCTCACCTCATGATGTTCCAGTTGTTCATGAGTTTGTGGACGTTTTCCCATACGAGCTTCCAGGAGGACCGCCTAACCGGCAGGTGGAGTTCTCTATCGATCTCATTCCAGGGGCCGGTCCAGTATCCAAAGCCCCGTACCGTATGGCGCCAAAGGAGTTGCAGGAGCTTAAGGCGCAGATTCAGGAGCTGATACGACTCGGTTTCATCTGACCGAGCGTGTCACCTTGGGGAGCACCCGTTCTCTTTGTTAAGAAGAAGGACGGATCCATGCGCATGTGTATCGACTACCGTGGTCTGAACCGGTTGACGATCAAGAACAAGTATCCGCTTCCCAGGATCGACGACCTATTTGATCAGCTGAGGGGAGCCTGTGTGTTCTCAAAGATTGATTTACGATCAGGCTACCACCAGCTGAAGATTAAGGAGTCAGATATCGCTAAGACCGCTTTCAGGACTCGTTACGGCCATTACGAGTTCGTCGTCATGCCATTCGGTCTCAGCAATGCTCCAGCAGTCTTCATGGACCTCATGAACTGTATTTTCCATCCCTACCTCGATCAGTTTGTTATTGTCTTTATTGACGATATCCTCATTTACTCGAAGAGCCAGAAGGAGCACGAGGAGCATCTGAGGGTGGTTCTCGAAACCCTCAGACGAGAAAAGTTGTTTGCAAAATTCTCTAAATGCGAGTTCTGGCTCCAGCGAGTATCCTTTCTGGGTCATGTGATTACTCAGGCAGGTATCGAGGTGGATCCTTCCAAGGACTCAGCTGTTCAGAACTGGTCGACACCGAGGAGTCCGTCCGAGGTTCGCAGTTTTCTTGGTCTAGCTGGTTATTATCGCAGGTTAATCGAGGGCTTTTCCAGGATCGCCCTTCCTCTATCCCAGCTAACGAGGAAGTCTGTGAGGTTCGAGTGGACTGATTGTTGTGAGGCGAGCTTTCAGGAGCTCAAGAGGAGGTTAACTTCAGCACCAGTGTTGATTATTCCCGATCCTTCTCGGAGTTTCACCATCTTCAGCGATGCTTCGAGACAGGGCTTGGGATGCGTCCTTATGCAGGATGGCCAGGTCGTCGCGTATGCTTCACGTCAGCTTAAGCCGCATGAGCAAAATTATCCGACGCACGACTTGGAGTTAGCCGCCGTTGTTCATGCTCTCAAGATATGGCGACACTATCTTTACGGCGGTCATTGTGAGATTTTCACAGATCATAAGAGCTTGCAGTATATCTTTACTCAGAAGGAGCTCAACATGAGACAGCGTCGTTGGCTCGAGCTCGTCAAGGATTACGATTGCTCGATTCAGTATCATCCGGGAAAGGCGAATGTTGTTGCTGATGCTCTAAGTCGAAAGGTGAGGGGTGACTTGACGTACGTCATTACTCAGCAGAGTCCGTTGATTCAGGAGTTTGCCCGGATGCAGCTTCAGGCGATTGATGCACTTCCCATAGTTGTTTCAAGGAGTACCAGTGCCAGTGTCAATGCTATGCAGCTTCAGCCGACGCTGAGAGAGAGAATTCGGCGAGAACAGGCTTCTGACGAGTTCATTCGTGTCATGGAGGCCAAGGTTCGCGCCGGAGGCGTCGAGGGTTTTCAGTTAGGTGCCGATGGTGCCCTAGAGTTCAGAGGCAGGATCGTGGTCTCGAAAGTTGAGGCGTTGCGGAAGAAAATATTATCAGAGGCTCATCCCGCACCCTATCTAGCCCATCCCGGGAGCACGAAGATGTATCATGACCTGAAAGGGTCGTTCTGGTGGCGAGGCATGAAGAAGGACATCGTCGAGTTTGTCAGGAGATGTTTCACCTGTCAGCAAGTCAAAGCCGAACATCAAAGTCCGATCGGCCTCCTGCAGCCACTGCCGATTCCTAGGTGGAAGTGGGAGGAAGTCACGATGGATTTCGTTATGGGATTACCGAGGTCGTCTGAACATCACGACGCTATCTGGGTTGTGGTCGACAAATTGACTAAGGTCGCTCATTTCTTACCCGTTTCGATGAAGATGTCTTTGGATAAGTTGATTGAGATATATACCCGTGGGATCATTCGACTCCACGGAGTGCCCGTTACGATCGTATCAGACAGAGATCCCAGATTCGTCAGTCGATTCTGGCATAGTTTACACGAGGCGATGGGCACGAAGTTAGAGTTCAGTTCAGCCTACCATCCGGAGACAGATGGTCAGTCCGAGCGGTCAATTCAGACGCTTGAGGATATGCTTCGCGCTTTGGTTGTTGACAGGGGTGCTAAGTGGGAGTCATTGTTGCCGTATGCCGAGTTCGCGTACAACAACAGCTATCATTCTTCCATTCAGATGGCTCCTTACGAAGCACTTTACGGTCGCAAGTGTCGTTCCCCTCTTTATCGGGACGACGTCGGAGAGCGACGAGTACTCGTTCCCAAGTTGATCGAGGAGACCGCAGATCAGGTCGAGTTGATCCGGCAGAGACTCAGGACAGCTCAGAGTCGACAGAAATCTTCAGCCGATCATCATCGACGAGATATTCAGTTCGAGGTTGGCGAGCCAGCTTTTCTCAGAGTTCGTCCGATTCGCGGAGTCGTTCGATTCGAAAAGAGAGGGAAGCTGCACCCTCGATTCATCGATCCGTTCGAGGTTCTCGAGCGAGTGGGCGAGGTCTCGTATCGATTAGCCCTACCTCCCGAGTTGTCAGGCATTCATAATGTTTTTCACGCATCTATGTTGCGTAAGTACGTATGCGACCCCGATCATGTCATTCCTCATTCAGATATTCAGGTTCAGCCAGATCTTTCGTACGAGGAGCGACCGGTAGCTGTACTAGACCGTCAAGTCCGTCGGCTCCGGAAGCGAGATGTTCCCCTCGTGCGTATTCAGTGGGATCGCCACGGAGCTACTTGGGAGGCAGAGTCCTATATTCGCGCTCGTTTCTCAGCTTTTCAGTTTTGATGTACATATTTTATGTTCCATGTACATAGTTCATGTATTATCGGTTATGTTTTGAATTTCCGAGGACGGAAATTTTGTGAGGAGGGAGGATTGTAATGTCCCGTTGTTTTATCATTATAAATTATGTTTTAATTCCGATGTATTAATATTGTCGAGTATTAATTTTCGGAATTAATTATTTTCAGTCGAGATTACCGAAAATTATTTTCGACGTACCGTTTACGTTCGGAATAATTTTGGTAATTAAGCATTATGTTTAATTAAATAATTAAACATAAGTTAGTGATTAATTAACATTAATCACACATTAATGGCATAACAAGCCGTGCGGATTTTGTGAGGAATTTCCCAAATTTTTAAGTGATTCCCTAAGCATGAAGGAAGAAATTTTCCTTCCATTCTAAGCCTTGCACGTGTCATTAAGTGGGGATTAAAGGGGGTGATTAGTCACCCATAAGACCCCAATTATATAGCATATGGCAAGCTAAGAAATGGCCACGTTTAACCCTCATCATCATCCTCCAAATTGTGGCTCCCTTCGGTTTCTATATAAAGAAAGAGTTTGGGAAACTTTTTTCCCAACTTGCAGCCTTATATGCGTACCATACTAGTCCTTAAGTTCAGCAATAGTTAGTCCAGCAAATTGCCTTAATTCTTCCATACCTCATGCACAGCAACGCATCGTACGTCTAGCTACTCGCACACGGGCACGCGCAAGTGAGTTCGCGGTCAGGTTGGGAGTTCCGACGAGATCTTGAGGAGGTAATCTCACCCTCAGCACCTCTTCTTGTTAATGAGATCATGTAGTGTTAATTGTTCAAACTCATGTCCTAAAAGTTCATGAAATGCCATGATGTGTTCGGTAGTGCCATGAATTGGCCGTAACCGAGTTAACCTTCATTTTATCCAGCGGTCCTCGAACAGTTCATGCTTAATAGATTTCTATTGATCATTTTCGATTCAGTTCATTCATGTTGGTCAGGACAAATCGATCGTTGTTCATGAAATAGGTTTAAGCCGTCGGCATCGCACATAGCGCATGCCTACGGGTCATGATAAGCCGTGCAATGTTATCTTTCATCATGATCAGATTTGCCAAATATTTAATGTCCAATTAGTTTGTTTATGTCACTTTATGCTTGTTTAGTTAGAGTCGGTCGAGAGACGGCCTATCGCCGTCGGCGGCGCACGGCGCGCTCGCCACGGCCCTATTCAGTTGATCGTCCGAAAATTTATATTTTCAAGTGAATTCAGTGATCATGTTCACGTTATATCAGATTATGTTAATTGAAGTCAGATTGCACGGGAGTTATTGCCGGACGGCCGGCAAGGGTCGGCCGTGGCCGCGCTGTCCGCACAAAGCGGTAGCAGCGCGCCCGGCAGCCAACCGCGTGATTGGCAGCGCACG